AAAATTAAGACCCCCCCCCCCCCCCCCATCATGGTGCATTCACAAACTGGCTGAAGCACAGCATACCAATCAGAAATTGTAAACAAGAGTGCTTATGCATGAATTTTGTGCTAAACTTTTGCAAAACAAAACAAAAAAAGGTCTGATCAAGCTGAATATCCAACTCTGAATCTAAATATGCTATCTCACAGGCCCTGCTTGGCATAGACACATCTGGAGAGGATGTTTGTGGGCATTAGCCAACCATAGTTGATCCGTGGATAAACAGATCGTGGATTAAATATGACATACCCACTTTAATACTTGATGCGTAATCCCCAGGGGGTGGGGGAATTTATTCAGTGCCTATTAGGGGATAAGAGGGCACATTTCATCCACAGACTAGTTAGTCCTCTATTGTGAATGTGGCCTATGCATTTACTGCTGCAGATTCTGGTCAAGTAGTCCTGGTGATACATAGTTGGTATGAGATTATAAATTATTAAATTTTTATACAGGAATAAGTCGGTGAGATTTGTGTCTGTCGCAGAGTGGAGATAGATTTTCCACTTATCGTGTTATCCCTGAAAGTGCGGCCGATCGAAGAAAATGACAGCCGCAGGTGACGGATGTATGTACAGACACGCTGTGCCTGTACAATACATAAAAACCATGTGGATCCTACTAAAACTTTTGATACTCGAGACTGAAAAGTCAAGAAGATCTAACTCTAAGTGTCTCATTACTTACTCCTTTATTCCGCTTTTCGTAAAAAGAATTTACAGCAGAGTTAAAAAAAGCGTCTGCACCAACAGCCATAACCATAATTGCTGCCGCCCAAACGGAACCTTTTTTCAGGAAACCAGTGTAGAATAAACTCGACAGCGATCGTTTTGACTCCATCTTGCCGTTTGGTGTTAGGAATCAGTGCGGACTACTTGATATATGAAGAAAGAGTTAAGATGTAAGGCAGAACATAAAAATATCAGAAGAGAATTTATTTTCATACGACTTATCGTCAGTGTGCTAAATAAACCCAAATATTGGTGTGAGAATAAAAAATTGTATCAATGAGTACTACTTTTTGTCTGACGCTTTGCGTAGTAGTACACGAGACCTTCATAGGTACAGCGCCATCTTTCGAGTAGGAGTGTTTCTTGACACCTTTTTACTAGAATGGGGAAACGATATTATTGTGATTTTTGTGACAAATCTTTTGCCGATAATCCTACCAATAGGAAGAACCATTTGAAAGGTGTCAGTCATCAAAGAATGAGAAAGTTACATTACAGTTTTTTCAAAGGTAGGTACTGTAGATCTGCTAAGAAAGCCTATATTGGACTCTCTCGTGCTAAGCCCACGCTCGGCTGTCACCTTGATTGGATAGTAAACGGTTGTCGTAAAATCGCTAAATGATATTAAAACCCGGTTCATAAACTTGAAAACATCCTAGGACAACCTTGGACTGCCACATTAATCCAATACAATGCAAAAATAAACTATAACAAGTGGCTAAAGCCTTCAAACCGAATGTCGTAAAGTCCCCATATACCTCCATAGAGACAATAAAATAGAAAGAGCTTGTGAAACAAAACTCAACCAACTTAAAAATAATAATCGAAATAAAATACTGCCGGGCATCGGAGCGGCCTAAAACTTGGCAGGCTTACTGCAAATAATGCAGGCTACATCATCCCGTCGCTCGTTTGTAAATTCCTTGCATCAATCAAACCGTAAATCAAAATTCCACCTCTGATGTTTATATCGGTCCTCTCTACAATCCAATTCAGGAAATGACGTAACCGCAGAGGTCACATTGTCCAATGGCATGGCTTCTTTTTCGTAATGGTAGGTTAGAGAGGACCGATATAAACATCAGAGGTGGAATTTTGATTTACGGTTTGATTGATGCACGGAATTTACAAACGAGCGACGGGATGATGTAGCCTGCATTATTTGCGGTAAGCGTGCCAAGTTTTAGGCCGCTCCGATGCCCGGCAGTATTTCATTTCGATTATTATGTTTAAGTTGGTTGAGTTTTGTTTCACAAGCTCTTTCTATTTTATT